TCCCTTCCAATCCTCAACATTCTGTGATTCTATGAAGCGCTGACATTGCAAATAACATGGGCTGGGCTTGTGGAGAAAACGAGCCTTTCTTGCTCCGCCTTGATCGCATCCGATCAGATCCAGTCCAGCAGCAGAAATCCAATTTGCAGCCGTTATTTCTAGCAGAGAACGTACTGACAGCCTCAGTTAAAATACCTCTAGGCACCTCGCAAGCCAGAATAAAGTCTGTGGTAATGTGCAGAAGTTAGGGGGCATTGCATTACGCTGTCCTAATAGCTGAGCCAAAGAAATCTTCTTTTCAGGGGGCTGCGTTTGAGGAGAAGTTAACTGGTCAGTGATGCAGAAGAGGAGAAAGGCTTCAGAGAAGATCTACTTTGCCTGGGCTCTTTTTCTGCTTGCAGTGACCCAACCAGGCCCTCCTGTTCTGTCTTTCCAGATCATTGTGGAAGAGGCGAAAGAGATATGGCGCAACATGAAGAACCTGGACGGAGATGTAGAGAAGAAATACAAGATAACTTCTGATGGTAAGAGAGTACAGATGTCAGATGCCTTCAGATAAAGAGCTATAGGATAAAAATAAGCGAATTCGTACTTCATTCCTCTGGCTGGGTACCAGGAATAAGCACCAAAAAGTTCAAAATTCCCGTTCTCCTGCCAGTAGCTTGCCAGGGAGCTCAAAACAGACCTGAAGGCTGAAAGTTTGTTCATTCTTTCTGTTTGGCCTCAGAAAATGGTGGAACTATTCATGTGTGTGTGATTGGCAGCAGAATTGTAGAAATAACAGGTGAGACTGTGGGTGAGCGAGTGCTAACGGCGAGGATTTGTTCTTCCTTTCCTCTTGCTTCTCGATCTAGTGGAAGATGTCCCTGCTCACTGCAGGGGGGGTGGACTAGATGGCATTTAAAGGTCCCTTCCAACCCAAACCATTCTGTGATTCTTGGCATGTGTGCAGGTAGCGCCAAAGGTAGCTCGTGCAGGGGGAAAACCACCTTTCTCGTAGTCTTCTTTGTGCATTTAGAATTTTGGAGTCATCAGCAAAGCTGCCTTCTTCCAGTGCAGTCAGGTAGTTTTGAAGGTGATTTTGGTTTTTCGGGGTTTTTTTAATCCTTCTTGTAGCCAAGGGAGACAACATCTGGGAGCACTAGAGATGTCCTGACCAAATGTCATGCAAATCCCAAGCAAGAAGTAGGGCCAGAAACATTTTTTTTTTTTTTTTAAAAGGGACTGGTTTTAGAGATCATGGTGTTTTATGATGAGAAAAATACCATCTCACTGACCTGCCTTGTTCTTTCTCTCAGGATATTTGAAACTTTGGCAGCTCAGCAAGCCTCAGCTCTCCGGATATGATGCCATTTTTGTCGACGAAGCGCAGGACTGCACTCCAGGTCAGTGGTGAGAAGAGACAAAGTTGCAGCCTTCCTGAGCGCTTCCCGGAGGGGGTTGTTCATTTGCTCAGGGTTTGTGAGAAGTAGCACAATTTAAAAAATAATTCTGCCCCTCAGCTGTAACATCATAACTGACCCTTTGCTTGGTCCCAGAGCCTTACAGATTCAGTAAGGCAGCTTGTAAGCAGGCTGCAAGGGTACATCTGCATCAGCTTGAGAGGCAGCTTTCAGATTTTTGGGGCATCCAGATGTGCCACCCAGACCCTTTGGCTGTTGCTTTGCTGCTGACAGAGAAAAACAGAACACCAGCATAGCCGAGGACGTGGTTTATTCCAAGAGTGGTGACACGTTAAATGGTTCAGCTGTCAGAACAGCAGAGCTGCTCGAGCCCACCCTGGCTCTGGATGCAAGCCCTGCCCATTCCTTCCGCCACTCTGGGATTCCTGACTCCCGTAGTGTTCACCAGGGATGGATGCTGGGTTTCTGCTGGGCTCACAAGTGTAGGATTAAGATGCCGTGCGGGGGCAGCCCAGGAAAAAATACCATCAGGCTGAAGTAGGAGGATGTTCATCGAGCTCCCACTCAGCTACGTGCTTCTCTTTGCTCGCCCCCAACCTGTTGTCTCCAGCAGCCGTGTTGATCCCTTTCTAATTGCCTCGTCATCAGGCAAGAGATCTTGCCTCTGTACAGGCAAAAGAGAGATTGGACAGTTTGCTCTTGGTGTATGAGCAGGCTCCCCCTTAATGCTCCCACGTTTTCCTGCAGCCATCGTGGATATCGTGCTGTCGCAGACATGTGGCGTAATCCTCGTAGGAGACCCTCACCAGCAGATCTACACCTTCCGAGGCGCTGTCAACACCCTCTACATGGTGCCTCACACCCACGTCTACTACCTCACCCAGGTAAGGTGAAGGTCTGCTGCTCTCCTTCCCTGGGCAGATCCTTAATGCGGTGGGAAATGTTTCAACATCGTTTTTCAGAAGGCATCCAACAGCCAGACTTCTGGAGTTTGTCACCGCAGAGCGTTCTCATTGCCTGGATCAGTGGCGCGCTGTGCTGTTCACACGCTGCGCTGCCAGAGCTCCTTTGTGGAGTGAGCCCATCGCTAGGAAAGCCGAGTGGTTTGAGAAATGAGTACTGGGGTAGAAACCTTAGTATATGGTGTATTTCAAGGAGATCCCCTCTTTTCTGGGTTAGTTCTCTGCTCCAGCTGAGTGGGCAAGGGCAGAATTCCTCCTCGCTCATATTGCCAGTCAGTTACAGTAGCGAGTCCTGTGCTGAGAGATGAAGGAGTTAGGAGCAAGAAGATTAATTTTGTTCTGGTGGTGACCTCCTTGAAATAAAACCTCATTGATTAGTGAGGATGTATTTTCTGGCTGGACACACAACCTGTTTTTCTGGCGCTCTATCAACTTCAGCATTGCCACCTCTGTCCCACCAGCATCCCTTTATCCCTGATATCTCCTGTCCTATTTGTCTGCCAAGGGCATAATGTTCATGAGCAGCTTCATCTGGTCTGAGTTTGCCCTGAAAGAGGGTTTGGGCTACCTAACCTGCTGCTGTGCCAACAGAAAGCTCACCCTGATGGGTTTTTTTGGCCTGATTAGCCACACAGCTACACAATTCTCATAGCTAATAGAAGAGAGGACCTATTCCTTTGGGAATTTTGAGTTTTTTTGAGTAACAAGGTTTTCTGCTTCTCCCTGCTGGTGGAGACATCATGCTCAGCCGGGAACTGGTGGGTTTTAATCATGGTGTTAGCAAATCTTCATCAGGGCTTTGACTTCACGATGTTTTGACTCCAGATCTACAAGTTAGGAAACCATAAGGAGCAACTCCCAGCCCTGCTCTCCTGCCTCAGCCTATCACCTCTCCAGCAGCCCAGCGAAGCGAGGGGCCTGGCTCCTTTCTCCCCGCTTCTAGTCCCTGCCCTGCTTGCAGGACAGCTGTGCCACGTCGCATTAACTTCCTGGGAAACAAGTCTTGGTGGTGGCAGCTGCTGAAGCAGAAAGGTTGGAATCAACGTTTTGCCCTGTACAGTGGTCACATCTCACAGCACGGTCCCTATTGCCTCAGGTGTAAGAGTGACCAGGATTTCTAGGAATAGTTTGGTGGCATTTGGGTACTTTTCCTAAGAGAAATGGTGTCCGGAAGATTGGTGGGAATTGTAGAGTTCCACATATAGCAATATTTTCATAGGTTCTAACAAGTTCTTCTCCTTTTTCCTGCTGTTTCCTTCATTTTTTCTGTGTAGAGTTTCAGATTTGGCCCTGAAATAGCTTACGTTGGAGCGACCATTCTGGATGTCTGCAAGAGGGTCAGGAATAAGACCTTAGTGGGAGCAATATTGTCATAGGTTCTAACAAGTTCTCCTTTTTCCTGCTGTTTCCTTCATTTTTTCTGTGTAGAGTTTCAGATTTGGCCCTGAAATAGCTTACGTTGGAGCGACCATTCTGGATGTCTGCAAGAGGGTCAGGAATAAGACCTTAGTGGGTGGAAACCAAAACGGTAAGTCATGTCGGTGTGTCTGTCAGTTCGGTGACTGGGAGTTACAGAGCTCCTGCATAATAAACAAAACACATCCGGATTAATCCTGGTTTATGAAGATCTTTGGATTTAGAGATTGGCTTTCTAAGTGCTCTGGCTAAACTGGGAATTTCTTCGTGCAGGTGATGTGAGAGGCAGCATGGGAGGGAAGATAGCAATCTTATCGCGAAGCAATTTCAGCGTGTTCGAGGACGCTGTGAAACTCACTGGAAGAGGGAGACCGATTAAAATACACGTGATTGGGGTAAGGGGAGATTGCCAACGTGTCTTTTACGTCCCCGAGCCAGTCAGCGCTTGAAGCAGCGACACATGTGGCTTGAAATAGGTGCTGTCTGCAGCATTCAGCTTTAAAAGTAATATTCCAGGAGAATAGCAGCAATCTGTTGTGGCTGAGGAAGAGTATTTGCAAGTATTTGCGCTGGATGGAGTGCTTCCAGCTGCCTTTGCCAGCAGTGGCACAGTGTCCCTGCCTTAGGGAAATAAAAATCAGCTTTAATTTGCAAGCTGAGTGTAAAAAGCAGCAAAAGGCAGTTGGCTGTGCCCCAAGAAAATAAACGTTTTTCAAGCTTTCTTGAGAGGTGAAGGCAGTGGTTGAGGCTGAAGGTGGCCTTTGGGCTTCTGGATGTCACAGAGGGCTGTGCTGTGGTCATTTCTAATTTCCAGCCCTGCGATAATCTGGTGCCTCTCTCAATACATGCAAGGTAAGTTGGTGCACCAGCCTTTTTTGTGAGGATTTGCAGCAATCCCGAATGTTTAGCCCTCGAGGGAGCAGCAGTTCTGGGGTTTGCACTGAGTTTTCATTTGCAGAGAAGCACCCACATATCTGAGGAAGGAGAATGTGCGTGTGTGCACGCCTGCAGGAATTCCCAGGCTTGGATTGCGGGGAGTTTTTGATAAGGCTCCACCTTTCAGCCTCAGAGGAACCGAGTCGTCGATACCTGTGGTTTAATTTCAGATCTTGTTCTGCACCCAGTAAATGTAAAAGCTCAAAGAGAATGAAGGGTTATCTTAGTGCTGAATATGTTTGAGGATGGTCTTCTGAATTTTAGGCTGATATTTTAAGTTCTGGATCTTTTTCTCACCGGAAAGCTGCGTATCACAAGGCAGTGAGCGTTCAAACTGGCTGCCCACTATAGAGATCCTCATCTGCTTTTAGAGTTTGGAATAAGTCTAAATGCAGCCTGATGCTTCTTTTGATGGAGCAAAACAAACCAGTAACCACTGGGCCCTGGTAGCTTTTCAAGAAACTCGAGGCAGCGCCTTTACTCCTGTACGTTAAAATAAACTTTCATTCGTTTTAGGGGCTCGCCCGTTTTGGCCTGAGCAAGATTTATGATATTTGGAAACTCAGTCTACCCACGGATGAACGGAAAAAAGGTGAGTACAACCATCCTCACCCTTCTCGCCGTGCGTGATCCTCCCTGTGACCCAGAGGATTTAGTTTTTGCTGCGGTGATGGAAAACGACACGCTTCTTGGTGGTTTATTTTACATTTCCTTACGCAGTTACCTGTTGAAAACTGACTTCTCAATGGTAGTGACCTGGGCTTTGCTGTTTTGGCTGCTTTGGTGGCTGGTGTTAGCACCAGAAATGCCAAAATTGTGGGACCCATGTCATGCATGACCCAGCTTTCTTCTGTCATGCCTTGTCTTGAGCACAAGAGCCCAGTAAACTCATACACTGGGATTTTTTTGTTTACCGTCTGTTTTCTCCTCTGACATCATTGTTCATTTGTCTTAAGCTTTTCCTGGTTTGTTTTGTTTTTTAAACCTGGTGCATTAAATCCTCTATCACGTGGTTTCTTTTTGCTAGTGGATATGAGCGAGGAAATAAGTCAATCATTCAAAATGTCTTGGCAGCAGCTGGCAAGTGTTGTTATATAAGAACAGAAACAAAGAGCTTCCTGAACTGCTTCAAGTGATTGATTATCTGGGTGTGTTGTTACTGGTTTTTTGTAAAGTGAGCTTCCAGGAAAACTCCTTGCCCTCTGAGGAAAAAGAGAATAATGCAGGTTGGAAAGGCCCTGGAGCTGTGTCTGCCCTGAGCTCCTGCTCCAGCAGCTCTGAGGTCATATCCCAGTCTTTTCAGACGGCTCAGAGTCTTTTCCTTTCAGTTTCCAAATATCTCTGGGGACGAAGGTCGTGCAAATTTTGCAGGACACATGCACGAGAAAGGAGTGAGCTTGGTGACTGCCTGCCAGCTGCTCTCTCTCTGAGCTCCCTAAACTTCCACACCCTTGGTAGTGCACCAGCGCTCCGTCTCAAAGCGGTGCTCTTTTGTGAAACTACCCACTCTGAGGAGAGCCTTGAGTTTTGAAGGTGTTCCCTGTCAGTAAAGAGAAAAGCCTGAGCATAAGCCACCCATCACATCCCAAGCCCCCGCATCCCACTGCCCCACCCTTCCCTTCCCTAATCCTCTGAAATTTGCTTAGAATGAAGAAATGCCGTTATATGCGGCCGTCGAATAAACTCGTGTCATCTGCCGCTTTCTTCTTCAGCAAACCTCGTTATAAATGACTCCTTCATCAGAAAATGGGAGGAAACTCAGGGCTACTTTGGTTTAAAGGAATACGCGCAGCGCATCGATGACAAAGACCTGGAAGTGAAGATTGCGATCGTGGAGAAGCACAAAGAGCGGATCCCTGAGCTGGTGCAGAAGATTGAGAGCAGCCACGTGTCACGAGAAGACCTGGCAGGTAAAGCTAAGCTGTGTCTTGGACAGAGGAGTGAATTCGGGTCTGTCTGTCAATCCAGCTTCCGTGGTGAATCCACCTTGTTCAGCAAAATGACTAAGTTTAGAGCGAGTCGGTCTTTTAGAGGGAAAGGGAGTTGAAAAGCAGCTTTTGGGGTGTATGTGGAGTTCAGTGCGACAAATTGCCACCAGAAGATCATTTAATGTGACTTTGCTAGAAGGAAATAAACCTTCGGACACAGTGTTTCATACAGTTGGAAAGCCCGAGGACTTTTTCCTGCTTTTTGGGGATTCCTGTAGGAGTTGCCCTGCAGCTTGCTGACTAAAATGTGGGGAGGCAACAAAGCAATTGAGTGAAATAATCATCAAATAAAGAGTGTTCCTGTTTGGGAGTTGGGGCTGGCGCTCAGGCAGCTTCAGCAGCCTGGATTCCTGGTAGAGTTGCTTTTCTTCTGATTTGTGTTTGGGGAGAACTGCAGTCAGAATGAAATCAGAACTTGGAGTGAAATGATTTCATTGGGCTGGGCACGTTGTGAAATTAAAAATTACCATTATCACTGTAATGACTCATCTTTTTCTTTTTTTTCTTTTCTTCCCCCTCTCGTTGCCGACATGCACTGGTTACAGATTACCTCGTAGGTACCGTCCACCAAGCCAAAGGCCTGGAGTTTGACACAGTGCTGATTGCAGATGACTTTGCCAAAGTGCCATGTCCCAGTGACAGTTCCCAGAGAAGAACTAACTTCAGTATCGGTAAGGGAACAGCTCTGCTTGGTGCCTGTCCTGATCCCAAAGTGGGAAAGCGGAGCTCGTCCTGCGAGCTCGTGCTTCTTGGTCGTGCCAAGTGCTACCGGCTGCCCAAGTCATTATTGATCTTGTCGCCTTCACAGCGACGTAGGGGCAGGGGAATATCCCTGCAGTTTAGCTCGTAGCTGTTTAGCAAAAGAGAAAGACCAACTCCACACTTGGGAAAGACACTGCTTTGGTGCCCCAGTTCACTCTTTGGGAGAGCTGGTCTTTCCCCACTGAGCTTGCAGAGGGAATCTAGAGACTGAGAAACTCCTCCAGTGCCAAGTCTGTGCTTGGGAGGTGGGAAAACACGTGGCAATGAGCCGTTTCTGCCTTTCACACAGAACCACAGAGTGTTCGGGGTTGGAAGGGACCTCAAAAGATCATCTAGTCCAAACCCCCTGCCAGAGCAGGATCACCCAGAGTAGGTCACACAGGAACAGGTCCAGGCAGGTTTTGAATGTCTCCAGAGAAGGAGACTCCACACCCTCTCTGGGAGGAAGGTGGAAGGAAGTGGGAGCTCTTGGTGGTGGCAGGAACCGCACGGCAAATGCAGGAGGGTGCTGCTCTGCAAGTTCCTGCTCTCGCAGAGCAGCACTGAGTGTCCTTCCAGAAGTAGAAGTTGAAGCACTGGAAGAATGGCAGAGCCATTCATTCTTCCTCTCTCAAGCTATTGATGGTCTTTCCTCCAGGCATGTACCCTGAGGACGAATGGAACCTGCTCTATGTCGCAGTGACACGCGCCAAGAAGTATTTGCTACTGTCAAAGTCCCTGGAAAACCTTTTGGTGTTGGCTGGGGTAAGTGAAACTTTGCCAATGTAAACAAATCCTCAAGCACGGCACTTTAGGGCCCCGATACCTGCACTTCATCACAGGCTGCGACAAAACAAGTCTTCATCACACACCATCTGGCTGTGCACTCCTGCCTGCGAGCCACAGCAGTTCCTCAGCTGATGTGGGAGTGCTCCGGAGGCCGAGCGGGCGATGGCCGGGGAGGGCAAACTCCAGGCACGCTGGTGTCTCCTTAGCATTTGGAGTCTCAGTGCAGCTCTGCAAAGTGGTGACATCTCAGTTGGGATGGGCTGCTGCCAGTTTTAAAAAGGTGCCGAGAGAGGCAGCACCCTCATAAAATCTGCTCATCTCTGTTTATTATGTTTGGAGAGAGGGGACATGTGGTAGAGGAGAGTAAAAGAGGATTTTCCTAAGATGCACTCTGATCCTGAGATTCGTCCTGAGCATGGACTATGCCCTGGCTTGTGCTGGCATAGACCAGAGTAGCCGAGATCCCTCTTTTCCATTCGTTCACGCTACTCTGCACTGGGATTTCAGTAGCGAAACACAAGGTTATAGCTTTTTTTATTCCACAGTCCTTGCATTCAGGTGTTGTCTTCCACAGATATTGATTTCTTGTCTCAGTGTGAGCACGTACAGTCCCTGTTCTCTGTCTGCAGGCGTTGCCAGCTCTTACTTCACTTCCTTCCTCAGCAGCTGCTGCTGGCTTCTGCTTGGTTTTTGTTGTCACCAGAGGTTTGGGTTTTTTCATGGATTTTTTTCATTTGTTATTTTCTTAATGAGAGCAAACATAATTTTGCAAGTCACTTCCCAGGGAGTTAAAATGTGAAGCAACCTCTTTCAGTATCTCAGCTTAACAGCCGTTGTTCCCTTTTTTTTTCCTCCCTTGTTTCTCAGGAGCGTTTCCTTCGGGTAGAGCTGATGACCGAGGCTGTGAAGAACGAGACCACCCGCACTTGTTCTGCACCACAGTGTACGAAAACTCTGCAGTCCAGCTCCAGGCTGGTGGTGAAGAAGCTCCCTTTGACTCATGTACGTCCCCTGCCTGAGCTCTTGAGATGATGTTTCTGAATCGGGAGTCTTCACGAGCCGCTCGGGTCGCTGACAGGGCAGCTGTGATCATTCCGAGCTGTTGCACCGGGGAGGCGTGACCTCGGTGCTAAGCTTTAGTAGAAGCGAGCAGGGAATGTCCCGTAGCTGGATCTCCTGCCCACAGCTCCCCAGCCCTTTGTTTCTACTCACAACCCTGATTCATAACTGGGGGTGACTGGGTGTTGCAGTTCCCACAGACCCACTCAAGGCTTAACCAGTCTAACCTCAGACTAATCATGGTCTCAGGTTGGGGCCACTTTGGGGGTTTTGTGTCAGATCCCAGATCTCACTCTCAGAGCCCCTGCCGAGGCCACAGGTTAGCAGAGCACCACTCACCCCACTTGGGTCCATATTTGGCTGTGATCCTGCCTCCTGGCTCCGGGAGAGATCCTTGCTCGAGGGTGCCGTGAAGGCCACGCTTCCTTAGCGAGCATGAGGGAAGTCAGTGGAGCTCCACGTCCAGGACGAGAGAGAGCAGATGGCTCCAAACCATCAGCAAGGACCACAAGCACTAAGAAAGGCAAAGCCTTGTTCTTCAGCAGCTGTTAAACAACCAGTCCAGCTATTAAACAACCAGTCCCTTGCAGGAGATGCTTTGGGCACATCGTTGTTCTCTTCCCTGACTGGGAGGGAGGTTGGAAGCAAGAGGTTATAGAATCCTTGAATGTGTTAGGTTGGAAGGGACCTTAGAGATCATCTAATCCACCCCCTGCCATGGGCAGGGACGCCCTGAACCAGCCCAGGTTGCTCACGGCCTCATCCAACCTGGCCTTGAACATCTCCAGGGAGGGGGCAGCCACAGCCTCTCTGGGCAATCTAGTCCAGAGTCTGGGCACCCTCGCACTCAACAATTTCTTTCCCAGATCCAACCTAAACCCCTTCTCCTTCAATTTAAACCCATTTCCAGCCTTGAAGGCTGTGTTCCTCCAGCCTTCCTCTTAGATCTCCTCCTCTCTTTCCCCCTGCAGAGCAATGGCAGCAGGGATGCGGGTGGCTACCTTTGCCACGATTGCACGCGGCAGCGCTTCGGCCCTCTGACGCTGCTCACGTTTGTCCCAGTGCTTCAGGAACAGCCCGGCAAGCTCTGAGGAAGGTCTCCAGCTCCCCAGAGCCTTGGCTGCAGCCCCGAGTGCAGCACGAAGCCAATTGTCACTCACCAGCTCCAAAATCATTTGGACGCTGGAGTGAGGCTTTTGGACCAACTCCAAGAGGAACCCTCCAGGCTTTCCGCCAGGAGGTGTGGGACCTTTTCTCCACCTGCCTTGCTCTCCAAGAGCTGGTCAGCGTGGCCTGCGCTGCATCACTGCACAGAAGAATATGCAGTTTGTAAACTGTGTCGGACAAGACGGCTTTTTTTTTTAATTATTATTTTTGAGACGCTGGAGTGAGGCTTTTGGACCAACTCCAAGAGGAACCCTCCAGGCTTTCCGCCGGGAGGTGTGGGACCTTTTCTCCACCTGCCTTGCTCTCCAAGAGCTGGTCAGCGTGGCCTGCGCTGCATCACTGCACAGAAGAATATGCAGTTTGTAAACTGTGTCGGACAAGACGGCTTTTTTTTTTAATTATTATTTTTGAGCATTACCCCTCCGTTACCTCTGTCACTGGGCAATCACCTCCAGTGACCAAACTGCTCTATCATGTCATGACTCAGTGAAATCCCTCCCACTGCAAGAAGAGAAAATACAACACTGGAAAGTACCCAGAGAAACACTTTCTTTCTAGGAAATGAACTTTCACTATCAGCTCTGAGAGTAAGTCATTAATGTTTCGCAGCTGAATTATTTTCTCTATTTGCACCCCAGGGGTTTCCCCAGGCTCTGTTTCCCTTCTCCCTGCAACAAACCATAAGGGAAGAAGAGAGCGACAGGTTTCAGTCTAACTCAGAGACAAACTGGAGAATGTTTTTAATCCTGAAATTAAATTTGCACACAAAAAACCAACAACCAGCCTTAATGCTTTCTTTTTTTCTCTTCTGTTAAGAAGTCGTCTTGGGTCGCATTTATTTCCCAGCTGTCGCAGTAGCAGTGGTGCAAGCAGCAAGGTGCTTTTGTGAAAAGAGTGGTGATTTACAGTCTCCGTTTGAAGATAACCATGGCTCTGTTGTACCAGAGCCTGCGTCACGTGGAGATCAAAAGCGAAATCAATTTCAGGAGCTGGGATATGTGCCCGGAGCGGTGAGCTCTGCCTGCGGGAAGGAAGCTTGTGTGTCCTATTCATTTCCACAATTATTCATGGAATGGCAGCAGCCCCAGTGGCTTTCCTTTCACTTTCGAAGCACTGACTCCGGAAAGGCTTCCCCTGTTCTGCTCACCTAAACGCGGGCAGGAGCTCACCCGAGACTCGGATGTAACCGCAAAGGTTGGCAGATGAATTCTGAAAACCCTTTTGCCACCCAGCTGAGCCGAAGGACTGATGGCACCGCTCCACCGTCACCCTTTGCATCCAGACCATGGTCCTACCAGTGGCCGGCGAGGTCGACTTGGCCCCAACCCGGCTCCCGTCTGCCCCCCCTGCCCTTCTCAGCATCCCGGCTGCTGAGACAAAATCTCAACTGCTGCGTCTGCATTATTTTATATACAGTATATACACATTTATACAATAAATGGTGTCAGACTAAAGCTGCCCGTTGTGGAGCAAGGGAAGAAACGAGTGGATGACGAGTGATGATGGATGAAGTAAAAACAGGACAAGGAAACTATTTCCTGGGTCTTGTTACTGCCTTGAGGCCACGACAGTGTCTATAACGAAATCCCTCCTGCTTGTGGTCCCCTGCGAGCAGCCGGAGCTGACGGGCGCCCGAGGTCGACGCCGGAAGTGCCTCCGAAGGATCCCTGAGCTGTAGGCGAGGGCCGACTCCTCGCCGTGGTTGTGGGTTCACCGAGGAATGACTGAAAGAGGGCAGGAAAGGGGTGAGGACACAGAGGAGGGATCCTTCTCTCTCTTTTGGCCACCAGCAGCACTGCTTTCTGGAGTTTGGAGAAATTTAGGGGTGAAGCACCTCTAGGCAAGGGGCTGGTGTCCAGCTTTCCCAACCCCACCTTCACCCCCAGCACCCAATCCCCGTCCCCTGGCACCCCAAACGCCGCCTTCTGGGGCAGGCAGCCCCCAAACCCACTCCCCACTGACCACCAGCACCCACAAGACCACCTCCTCTGAATTCCCAACACAGGAAACCCACCCCCGCACCTTTG